TCTTCAACCGCCAAATATTCGTTTAAAAGCCGTTTTGGAGGTTGCGATATCCGTCTCATTTTTTCCGCCAGTTTCAATCATAAGAGCTCGCGCATGCGCTTGGGGCAATTTTACGAAATCCTTCAAGTAAGATTACTCAAATCAAATGTTCCACTCACTGGGAAAAGAGTTTGATATGAATACAGTCGGCACCTTTATTAAGCGTAAGGAAGGCAAGAAAACGGTTAATAAGCTACACGTTGTTTAACTCGGACGATACCCTTATGTTAAATAACCTCATATTATATTGGAGATATTGACCTAATCAAGCGCGATTCCGAGCATACAAAGAAAAAAATAATCAAGCTATCTAGTAACGATATAGGCCATTTGATAGGCGATAAAGTGAGACTCAACTGAAACGAATAACAATAGAGAAAGCCCAAGAACTAAGCCTGAAACAAGGAATCGATTAGTTACTTGGTGAAATTAAGAGATCCTCGCAGCAAAGAACACTACTGAAAAGAGTAGTTGAAAATAGGACCTGACAAAAATTCAGGCCCGCACGGGATTTGAACCCATGACCCCTGCGATACCGGTGCAGCGCTCTATCAATTAAGCTAACAAGTCAACTGAGAGCTAGTCAATGTGCTGGGTCCAAATAAACCATCCAAGTGATGAATGACGATTTTAGATATATGAAATTCATATATTTGCACTGCGGTGAAGAGATGAAATTAAGAGGTAATCGCAGCTAAGAACACTACTGAAACGAGTAGTTGAAAGTAAGACCTGAAAAAAAAATTGGACCCAACACATTGACTAGCTCCCAGTTGGCTTATTAGCTTAATTGGTAGAGCGCTGCACCGGTATGGCAGAGGTCGTGGCAGCAAATCCTGTACGGGCCTTAATTTTTTTTCAGGTACAAAGGCATTCATGTGGAATGCATTGATCGCTTAATCGGTTGCCACAGTCATGATGTTCATGATGGTCTATAAAAACGCAAAAATGTTTATGATAGTCCATAAAAACGTAATAAAAAAAACAGAAACAACAAAACCTAAGCTAATATCTAGCCATCTTGACCGAACA